CTGCTTCGGCCTCCCAAAGTATTGGGATTACAGGCATGAGCCATCGCACCTGGCATAAGTGTATGATTACTATGGAATGAGGCAGACCTGGTTCCATATACTAGCTCCATCCTCCTGGCTGCATGACCTTGGAAAAGTCATTTCCCCTCTCTGAGCCTCAGCTGCTGCCTCTCTACAGTGGAAGATGATTTAACAACTCCTTCTTCCTTAAGATACCATGACTCAGCAGCGGAGTCACGTTTGGCAGTCCCACAGATCTGTGTCTTGCTTGAACAGTGTTCGGATGGAAGAGATCCTGGGACTTCCTCTCTTCCAGCCTCTCACCATCAATCTCCTCTCCACTTGCAACCTCAGGGACCATCGTCTCAGCCACCTCCTGCTTCTGGTCCAACCAACACCATTGTTTGTGGTTAGCTCCTTCTTACCAACCCATGAGCTCCCAGATTCGTCAGAATTATTACACCTGGTGGAGGTGCCATGAACCACCTGGACAATTTGCACATGCAGGCCTCCTTATCTGCCTCTCTCTGGGCTTCTATTTACACTGCGACAATGTGGCTCTGGAGGGCGTGGGCCACTTCTTCCACGAATTGACTGAGGAGAAGCGCAAGGGTGCCTTGAAGATGTAAAACCAGCACAGCGGCTGCACTCTTCCAGGACATCCAGAAGCTGGCCCAAATTGAGATAGATAAGACCCTGGACATGGCTGGACGTGGTGACTCATGCCTGTAATCCCAGCACTTTGGGAGGCCAAGGCAGGCAGATCAGTTGAGGTCAGGAGTTCAAGACCAGCCTGGCCAACACGGTGAAACCCTATCTCTACTAAAAATACAAAAAAAATTAGCCAGGTGTGGTGGCGCATGCCTGTAGTACCAGCTACTCAGGAGGCTGAGGTGGATCTCTTGAATCTGGGAGGCAGAGGTTGCAGTCAGCTGAGATCACACCACTGCACTCCAGCCTGGGTGAGTAAAATAAAATAAAATAAAATAACCCTGAATGCCACGGAAGCTGCCATGGCCCTGGAGAAAAATCTGAACCAGGCCCCTTTTGGATCTTCAAGCCCTGAGTTCTATCCGCACAGACCTCCATCTCTGTGACTTCCTGTAGAGTCACTTCTTAGATGAGGAAGTGAAACTCATCAAGATGGGCGACCACTTGACCAACCTTCCCAGGGTAGCCAGCCCCCAGGCTGGCCTGGGCGAGGTTCTCTTGGAAAGGCTCACCCACCCTCAAGCACGACTGGGAGCCTTAAGTCCCCTCCCAAAGTATCAGGGCTTCTGCCTAAGCCTCTCTCTCCAGCCACTAGGCAGCTTTTTAATTACCCTGGAGCCTTCTTCCAAGCCTTGGACCAAATGGAAATAAAGCTCTGTGGAAGCAAATTCAAAAAAAACCAAAAAACCATGACTCAGGAAAGTACACATACTGCCTGGCATCTTCCCTCCTCTTTCCCTCTTGGCTCTTGTACATTTTTCTCAATGGTCCACTTTAATGTCCTCTGACCCAGAGCCCCTTCACTGCTTCCATAAGTCTCTCTAAGCTAGGGCCATAGAGTTCGAGACCAGCCTGGGCAAAATAGCTAGTCCCCATCTCTATACACAATGTTTTAAAAGACAAAACAAATTTTAAAGAGAAAACAAAAAAATAAAGCTGAGACCAGAACTAGACTGCACACTCTGGAGGAACAAACCCTGGATTCACAGGCAGAATACAAGGATTTGCCTGCTTGTCTTTATGATGGGAGGGTTCTGATGTTTCCAAGGAGCCATGAGACCTTGGGCTATTAGCTTTCCCCCTCTGGGCCTTGGGTTCCTCTTCAGTTTCATGACGAGGCTGTTCCATCTCTACCATGACATTCTGCAATCTTGTGACACTGTGGCAAAGGCCAAGATTAGGGTTGAGTCTTTTTTTTTTCTTTTTAATAGACAGGGTCTAACTCTCTCACCTGAGCCAGAGTGCAGTGGTGCACTCATAGTTCACTGCAGCCTCTACCTCCTAGGAGGCTTAAGTCTCAGTGGGAAGGGGAATGAGGGTACTGTGGGGCTACTTCCGAGTACCCCAACCTTGGGAGAGGTGACTTGGTCAGATGTAGGATGCACCCTACTACCCTACTGGCATGGGGGGCAGATGCCTCTGCAGGGCTGAGGAATGGGGTCTACATGGGAAAACTGCCTGGAGATAGTAAAACCAACCTGTCATCATGCCAGTGCTGACCTAGGTCTTCAGAGCTGCTCTGGGGCCTGGTCCTGCTGGTTGCAAGGAACAGGGGATGAGGGTCCTAACCTGTCCAGGGGCCTCCTGTTCTATTCCCTCAACCCAAAAGGGAAACCTAGGGAAGAAAACTTTACCTAAGAAAAGGACCAGATCAATCCCCTCATACACAAGTGCACACAAATAACAGCTCAAAGCACCCTTTGTCCTTTTTATTATTTTTTTAAATTTATTTTTTGAGATGGAGTTACTCTTTTGTTGCAATGGCACATCTCGGCAACCTTCGCCTCTGGAGTTCTAGCGATTCTCCTGCCTCAGCTTCTTGAGTAGCTGGGACTACTGGCGCGTGCCACCACACCCAGTACATTTTTGTAATTTTAGTAGAGACAAGAGTTTCACCATGTTGGCCAGGACGGTCTTGAACTCCTGACCTCCAGTGATCCACCGGCCTCGGCCTCCCAAGTGCTGGTATTACAGGTGTGACCCACAGTGCCTGGCCCCTTTCTCCTTTTTTTTTTTTTTTTTTTTTTTTTGTGTCTCCCTCCTTTTACTAGTCACATTACTGTAATTTAAATGAAGTTTAAGAGATTACCATGTCTCCCGCTGGACAATTGACTCATTTCCGAAGTGATACATTTCTCGACTCCCAGGTTTTTAAATTATTATGGAAGTGATTACACCATTACTGCATTCTCTTTTTTTGAAGTGGGCGAGATCTGCTTGGCAACATCCAGGCTGGCGACAGGGGTTCGAAGCTCATGCAGGCTCACACGTCTCTTTTTCAAGTTTCGCCATTCTCCTGCCTCAGCCTGGCCCCTTTCTCCTTTTTTTTTTTTTTTTTTTTTTTTTGAGACGGAGTCTTGCTGTGTCACCCAGGCTGGAGTGCAGTGGCTGGATCTCAGCTCACTGCAAGCTCCGCCTCCCGGGTTTACGCCATTCTCCTGCCTCAGCCTCCCGAGTAGCTGGGACTACAGGCACCAGCCACCTCGCCCGGCTAGCTTTTTGTATTTTTTAGTAGAGACGGGGTTTCACCATGTTAGCCAGGATGGTCTCGAACTCCTGACCTCGTGATCCGCCCGTCTCGGCCTCCCAAAGTGCTGGGATTACAGGCTTGAGCCACCGCGCCCGGCCTCCTTTCTCCTTTTTAATAGGTTTTCTCCTTAGGAGTTTTTTGTTTGAGACAGAGTTTCGCTGTTGTTCCCCACGCTGGAGGGCAATGGCGTGATCTCGGCTCACCGCAACCTCGGCCTCCCGGGTTCAAGCGATTCTCCTGCCTCAGCCTCCTGAATAGCTGGGATTACAGGCATGAGCCACCACGCCCGGCTAACTTTGTATTTTTCGTAGAGACGGAGTTTCTCCATGTTGGTCAGGCTGGTCTCGAACTCCCGACCTCAGGTGATCCGCCCACCTCAGCCGCCTGAAGGCATGAGCCACTGCGCCCAGCCTGCTTAGGAGTTTTTTTGACTTTCCCCCCAAAAGTTTGTATCTTTCAATTAAGGAAAATAGCCTATGGAACTACAGAGACTTAGGGACAAAAACCAGAGCGCCTTACTCCCTCTTGTGCTCTTCCACTGCAACCTGCTAAAAAAGTCTTAATTAACAGAAGGCAACATTTCAGGCATTCCGGAAGAAGGTCATACCTTAACGGCAGCAGACTTTAAATTAAATTTTTTTTTCTTTTTTTCTCTTTTCTTTTCTTTTTTTTTGAGACGGAGTCTCGCTCTGTCGCCCAGGCTGGAGTGCAGTGGCCGGATCTCAGCTCACTGCAAGCTCCGCCTCCCGGGTTTACGCCATTCTCCTGCCTCAGCCTCCCGAGTAGCTGGGACTACAGGCGCCGCCACCTCGCCCGGCTAGTTTTGTTTTTGTATTTTTTTTTTTTAAGTAGAGATGGGGTTTCACGGTGTTCGCCAGGATGTTCTTCATCTCCTGACCTTGTGGTCCACCCGTCTCGGCCTCCCAAAGTGCTGGGATTACAGGCTTAAGCCACCGTGCCCGGCCAAATTTTTTTTTCTTTCTCCACTTTTAAAGGATAGGTAGTTGACTTGTATTTATTTAATTTTTAAAACAGGGTCTCGCTCTGTCGCCCAGGCTGAAGTGCAGTGGTGTGATCACGGCTCGCTGCAGCCTCAACCTCCCAGACTCAAGCGATCCTCCCACCTCAGCCTCCGGAGCAACTAGGATTATAGGCACGCACCACCATGCCTGGCTTTTTTTTTTTTTTTTTTTTTGTAGAGATGGGGTCTCGCTGTTTTGCCCAGGCTGGTTTGGAACTGCTGGGATCAAGCGATTCTCCCGCCTTGGCGTCCCAAAGTGTTGGAATTACAGGCGTGAGCCACAGCGCCCGGCCTCAGCTCTATTAATGTTAACAAATATGTATACAACCCTAAGGGACAAGCATTAACTTCCTCCATTTCCCCGACCCCTGCCATCCGTACTTGGCTCCTGAGTCCCCTTCATTGGATGTGATTTTGGACCAGCCCTTCCCATACCCACACCTCAGTTTCCCTATCTGTACAACAATAATTATACATTCCCTTCCCAACAAAACACATCAAACCTAACGGACAGAGATCGACTAGGCTGCAGAAGCGCGCTAATAGGTCATGAGTCAAGTAAAATGACTGACAACATAAACTCCTCTTTTGCCAAGCCAAAGCCACCCGCGGCCACCGCTCTTCCGGGCTGTTCTAGGATGGGCGCGGCCAAGCCATCGGGAGCCACGCCCCAAGAGAACTGGGCCCGCATTCGCCGCGCCCAACCCTGCGGCCCAGGAAGGGACCCAGAATGACGTCACACCCACTCCTATGTAACACTCCGCCAGGAGATAAAGTAGTCCCCAACCCATAGTGGGCCCCATGCCAAATGTTAGCCGACGTATAAAATCCCAGAGTCTCTTCAGACCCGATTATGGTTTTGAGGCCTCGGAGCGACCTTCCGGAACACTGAAAATGTGTCTTTCCCGGGGCCAGCGGGAGAAGTAGTTCCGGCCTACAATAGGCCGATGGGTTCCTCCGCAGCGGGGGAAAGAGGATGGCGACCTCGTCGATGCCGGAGTCAGAGAGGAACGTGGCTACGAAAGCCTCAGGTGAGCTTCGGGTAGAGTCAGGCGGCCCCACCGTACCCTGCCGTGGAGTGAGGTCACACTGCGAGGTTACCTGGAGGCGAGTTCCCGGGCCGGCGGGGCTGTCCGAACAGGGCCCCGGGGTCCCAGGCCCTTTAGTCGCTCTCGCACTTGCCTGAGCGGAAACCCGGCGCCACCACAAGATGGCGTCGGGCCTGGAGCACAGGCAGCGCCGGGGACAGCCCCAAGTCGCCAGGCCCCGAGACCGTCGCTGTCAGCCCCTCCACAGGGGAACCGGGGGGGAGCGAACCACTGACCCAGGGGGCCAGCGGGCTGTACCACCGACCCTGCAACCCGGGGGGACGCGGGGGCTGAAGGGCTGAACCACGGAGCCCGGATAGGACTCACAGAGAGAAACGCTCCACGAGAATCGTGGGGGCGAGGGAAAGGGTCAAGATTACCAGCCATTGACCACCTTCACGGGAAGGGCCTTAGCCTGGGAAGCACAGCTTCTCCGTCAAGTTTTTCCCGAGCTCCCCTCGCAATACACCAGGAAGCCCCGCCCCGTCGGAGACTCAGTTTTTGCATCTGCAAAATGGGCGCAGGGGTGCAGCTGGGTGGGCTGCGGTTGCCGGGGCTGGGGAGATGGCCCACTTATTCCAGCCACGGTCACCTCTCTTCGCAGAGTGAAGTCCCCAGACCCTACGCCACGCTGTCAGGCAGCCCGCTGATCCGATGGAGGAGAACGAGGTGGAGAGCAGCAGCGACGCGGCCCCTGGGCCTGGCCGGCCCGAGGAGCCCTCTGAGAGCGGCCTGGGTGTGGGCACCTCGGAAGCCGTGTCGGCCGACAGCAGCGACGCCGCGGCCGCCCCGGGGCAGGCAGAGGCCGATGACTCTGGCGTGGGGCAAAGCTCGGACCGCGGCAGCGGCTCTCAGGTATGGACCGGGCTGGACGGCGTGGGTGGAGGCAAGGACCGCGAGCATAAGTGCCTGACAGCCAAGAGGAAACAGTCAGCAAGGCTTGTTTGTAGCTAATACTTGGTGTTTCTGGTTTACTGTGAGCCAGGCACCAAGCCAAGCCCCTAAAATGGGGGCTTCGTACCTTCTAAGATACATACCATTTTTCTCCACATCTTATAGAAAAGGATGCCGAGGTACCGAGTGCAGACAAAGCCAGGATTCAAATCTAGGCTGAGGTCTTAGCTACTATAGTACCCACAGTCCTCACACTTTGAGAGGCAGATGTCTAGGCCAGGCGTGGTAGCTCGTTGCTTGTAATCCCAGCACTTTGGAAGACTGAGGTGGGAGGATCACTTGAGCCCAGGAGTTGGAGACCAGCTTGGGCAACATAGCGAGACCTCATCTCTACCAAAAAAAAAAAAAAAAAAGGGCAGGTGTCCTGGGTTAAGACCGGGTCCTGCCTCCAGTTTACTGGGAGACCTCTTTGAGCCTCAGTCTCCTGGCTAAAGTAGAGCAGAAATACTTGCTTTCAATGTGAGCTCCCACCAGACATCCTCTTGCAAACATTTTGTAAACGTCTTCTCCTGGCTGTGCCACTTCCAAACCGTGTGATCTTGAGCAAGCTACCCAACATCTAGCTCTGTTTCCTCATCTGTAAAGTGGGAATGGTAAATAGACCTGCCTCATAGAGTTTTTGTGAGGATGAAATAAATTAACATATGCAAAGCCAATAATTAAAACAGTGCTCAGCACATTGTAAGCACTCAATACGTATTAGCCATTCTTATCTGCAAGATAATGATCATATTCAGTATATCACGTGATAGAAGTGCACAGCAGTGGTCATCACTTTGGGGTCCTGGGGTTTCATTAATTCAGCAGAGATAGGGGCCTACCATGTGCTCAGCATGTGCTGGGCCCTGGAGATACAGCAGGGGAAAAGACAAGTTTGTTCCAGGCCCTTGTGGAGGGCACAGTCTGGCAGGGAGGCTGTTACAAGGCACGATGAACCCACAGTGGTGTGGTGCTGGGGACACAGGCAGCTGCAGCACTGAGGGTGAAGAAGTCCTGACTTGGCCTCAAAGTCAGCATTGACTTCCTAGAAGAGGTACCAGCTAAATGGTGGTGAGAAGGCTGGGTAAGATTTAGCCATAGGGTGATGCTGGGAAGAGTTTCAGGCAGAGGGAATGATTTATGCAAAAGCCCAATGACAATAGCTCCCCCCGGCTGTGGTGTAGACCCTGGCTGTGGCTTAGGAGTCCCTTCCCTTATTTTGGGGTATCCCGTAATGAGATCCAGGGACCCTGTGACTTTTTCCTGGGGGACTCTGTGATTGGAGGGCCTCTGTCACTGGTCCTCAGTGGGGCTGAGGGCATGAGTGGCTCCACTGACCATGTCCTTGGGCCAGAAAGCTGTGTCTAGCAGGTGGGAGTTGGCAGGCTGCCCTGCCCCATACCCTGCTGCTAAACTTCCTACCTCCGTTTCATGCCCCTCAGGAGGAGGTATCCGAGAGCAGCTCGAGCGCAGACCCCCTGCCTAATGGCTACCTCCCTGATTCATCGTCTGTGTCCCATGGGCCAGTGGCAGGGGTGACAGGCGGTCCCCCAGCACTTGTGCACTCTAGTGCACTCCCAGACCCCAACATGCTGGTGTCTGACTGCACAGCTTCCTCCTCGGACCTGGGCTCAGCCATCGACAAGATCATCGAGTCCACCATCGGGCCCGACCTCATCCAGAGTGAGTCAGGCAGAGGAGCCCCACAGAGGAGCCCCACAGGGGTTTCCCTGCAGTGTCCTGCAGCCAGCTGTGCCCACCCTAGCTGCATGAACTCAGGCAGATTACTTTCCCATGCGGAATGTGCAGAGTGGAAACAGTCACCCCTGTCTCACGGTGGTAAATGAGGATTTAATGAGACAACACGATAAGGTTCTCAGCATAGCGCCTGGCATATGACAGACTCTCAATAAATAATATAAACTGTTATTGCTTACCTTGTGCCCAGGACTGTTCTAAACTTTACATACAGTAGCTCATTTAATCCTCCCAATAACCCCAAAAGGTAAAGAATGTTATGTTCACAGTCCACATGAAAAATATGAGGCACTGAGGACATACATAAGTTACCCACTGTCACCAGCAAGCAGTGTGGGGTGTCGGGCCATGAGCTCAGTCTAACTCCAGAGCCGTGTCACCCATGCTGGAGAGCAGTGGTGCAATCATAGTGTGCTGCAACCTCAGACTCTTGGGCTCAAGGGATTCTCTGCCTTGACCTCCAGGGTAGCTGGGATTACAGGTGCACACCACCTTTTTGCTGGGTTGGCCAGGCTTTTCTTGAACTCCTGAGTTCAAGCACTTCTCCTGCCTCATCCTCCCAAAGTATTGGGATTACAGGCATGAGCCATGACACATGGTGCTGTACCCACTTTTTGTTAATGATATTTATAGAGACTATAGTACCTCAAAAAGCCCTGGGATAGTCTGGGAAGCCAGCCCTAAGAAAGTGGTGCAGGAGCTAGTCCTTTACTTTCAGAAGTTTGGAGAGGAAGGAGGACTTTTCAGGTTTGGTGGTCAAAGCCTGGGCAGCTGGTGTAGCTGTGGCATCTTGTGTAAGTGTGGGCCAGCTGCTGAGTCAGCTTGTCACACTAGACCTCCAGACAGCCCTGCCAAGGAAGTCAGCTGAGGCTCAGGGGGCGACACAGCTGGTTTGCAGTCACACATGGGAGCCAGAATGAGTGTGGACCAGCCCTGCTCACAGGCCAAAGTGGGGCCCATGGGGGTGGGCCTGTTGCTGGGAACCCCTCCCCAGGAGGTGTGACCCTTCCCCAACTCTGCCCAGGCTGCATCACTGTGACCAGTGCCGAGGATGGCGGGGCCGAGACCACGAGGTACCTGATCCTGCAGGGCCCAGATGATGGTAAGACCCTGGGTGCCACAATCAGGGAAGACCTGCAGTGGGCAAGGGGATAGATGAGGACAGGTTCTGCTGCGGATTCCCTCTGTGGCCCTGGCAGGGTATCCACGACTCTGGGTCTCAGTTTTCCTACTGACCGGGTGGCCTCTGGTGGGGAATTTGATTCTGCACTCCCTGGGTCTGCCTAGGAGGGGTAGCTACAGCTCATGGCCAGTGCTGCCCTCCATGTAACCGCCCACCAATTGCCTCACCCACCCCTAGGAGCCCCCATGACATCACCAATGTCCAGTTCCACCTTGGCCCACAGCCTGGCAGCCATTGAGGCCCTGGCAGATGGCCCCACATCCACATCCACATGCCTGGAGCCACCTGAGGAGGCACAGGGTGGGCCCAGCTCCCCGGTGCAGCTGCCTCCAGCCTCTGGTGCTGAAGAACCAGACCTGCAGAGCCTGGAGGCCATGATGGAGGTGGTGGTGGTGCAGCAGTTCAAGTGCAAGATGTGCCAGTACCGGAGCAGCACCAAGGCCACACTGCTGCGCCACATGCGGGAGCGCCACTTCCGTCCAGGTGCCTCAGTAGCAGCCTACCTGCTTGGACTGCATGGGTGGGGGTGGGGTGCTGGGAGCCAGACATGGCAAGCTTGTCTTACCCTCCCCCCACCCCCAGTAGCAGCAGCCACAGCAGCATCTGGTAAAAAAGGACGTCTACGGAAGTGGAGCACCTCCACCAAGACCCAAGAGGAAGAGGGACCGGAGGAGGAGGACGATGACGACATTGTAGACGCTGGAGCCATTGATGACCTGGAGGGTAGGCCACCATGGTTTCTAGGCCTGCCATCCCTACGCCCATCTAGACATACTCACTGAGCTTTCACTTGGAGGGCCAGTAAAGGGGAATTGGCATAGACACATCCATAGGTCCCTCCAGTGTAAGACAGAGGAGGTTGTGCTCTGGGACTAGGACCTTTGTGTACAGTTGTGCAGGGTGCACACTGGAAAAGAGCACAGGGGGCCCTGTTCACAATTGCACCACAGAAATAGAATACAAATAAAGGTGCGAGAGAAGGTCCTCGCCCTGTTGCTCAGGCTGGAATGTAGCATGGTGATCATTGCTCACTGTTACCTTGAATTCCTGAGCTCAAGCCATCTTCCCATCTCAGCCTCCCGAGTAGCTAGGGCTATAGGTGCCTGCCAGCATGCCTGGCTAATTTTTTAGTTTTTGTGGAAACGGGGTCGCCCAACCTGGACTACATGGCGAAACCCCATCTCTACGAAAAATGCAAAAATTAGGCCGGAGTGGTATGTGCCTGTAGTCTCAGTTACTTGGGAGGATCACTTGAGCCCAGGAGGTCAAGACTGCAGTGAACTGTAATTGTGCCACTGCACTCCAGCCTGGGCGACAGAGCGAGACCCTACCTTAAAAAAACGAAAAAAAGAGAAATACTGGGTGTGGTGGTTCACGCCTGTAATCCCAGCACTTTGGGAGGCTGAGGCAGGCAGATCACATGAGGTCAGGAGTTCAAGACCAGCCTAGCCAACATGGTGAAACCCCGTCTCTACTAAAAATACAAAAAATTAGCTGGGTGTGGTGGTGGGCACCTGTAATCCCAACTACTTGGGAAGCCGAGGCAGGATAATCACTTGAACCTGGGAGTTGGAGTTTGCAGTGAGTCGAGATCGTGCCACTGCACTCCAGCCTGGGCGACAGAGCAAGACTCCGTCTCAAAAAAAAAAAAAAGAAAGAAAAAGAAATTGCCTTTTTTTTTTTTTTTTTTGAGACGGAGTCTTGCTCTGTCGCCCAGGCTGGAGTGCAGTGACCGGATCTCAGTTCACTGCAAGCTCCGCCTCCCAGGTTCACGCCATTCTCCTGCCCCAGCCTCCCGAGTAGCTGGGACTACAGGCGCCTGCCACCTTGCCCGGCTAGTTTTTTGTATTTTTTAGTAGAGATGGGGTTTCACCGTGTTAGCCAGGATGCCCGTCTCGGCCTCCCGAAGTGCTGGGATTACAGGCTTGAGCCACCGCGCCCAGCCAAGAAATTGTCTTGCTGAGTTGCCCAGGCTGGTCTCAAACTCCTGTCCTCAAACAGTCCTCCCACCTCAGCCTTCCAAAGCACTGGGATTACAGGTGTGAGCTGCTGTGCCTGGCCCTAAAATATTTCAGTATGCTGTCATAACAATTGGTGTTTTGGCCGGACATGGTGGCTCACGCCTGTAAGCCAGCACTTTGGGAGGCTGAGGCAGACGGATCACGAGGTCAGGAGATCGAGACCATCCTGGCTAACACGGTGAAACGCCGTCTCTGCTAAAAATGCAAAAAATAAATAAATAAATAAAATCGTTGGTGAGTTTTTTAATACCAATTTTTTGAAATTCATTATTTTACACTTAATTATATCTCAGTTTGGACTAGGCATATTTCTTTTTTTTTTTTTTTTTTTTTTTTGAGACGGAGTCTCGCTCTGTTGCCCAGGCTGGAGTGCAATGGCCAGATCTCAGCTCACTGCAAGCTCCGCCTCCCGGGTTCACGCCATTCTCCTGCCTCAGCCTCCCGAGTAGCTGGGACTACAGGCGCCCGCCACCGTGCCCGGCTAGTTTTTTGTATTTTTAGTAGAGACGGGGTTTCACCGTGTTAGCCAGGATGGTCTCGATCTCCAGACCTCGTGATCCGCCCATCTCGGCCTCCCAAAGTGCTGGGATTACAGGCTTGAGCCACGGCGCCCGGCCTGGACTAGGCATATTTCAAGGGCTCAATAGCTACATACGGCCGGTGGCAGCTGTTTTGGATAGGGCCGCCGTAGAGTTTGTGGACTTTAATGTTTATTTAAACTTTTTTCTAACTGGCTGTACACTGTCTGGAGGAAGGGGTGCCTTTTCCCTATTCACATGAAGGTGTTTTATGAGCTAGTGGTAGGTGCCAGGAAGGGTAGAGAAAGAACTTCAGGGGCTCAGGGCAGGAACGCCAAGTCAGCCAGAGGAGACCAGGAGGGCTTTCTGGAGGAAGCATCACTGTGGGCTCGGAGGAGGAGTGTACACAGGGGTGGGGAAGTGAGCTGGGGAGGGGGTTAGGGCTGAAAGGGCAGGTCCTGCCACTGTTCACCAACTTTACTGTCCCCCACAGAGGATAGCGACTATAATCCAGCTGAGGATGAGCCCCGAGGCCGGCAGCTTCGGCTCCAGCGCCCCACCCCCAGTACCCCAAGGCCCCGAAGGAGACCTGGCCGGCCCCGGAAGCTGCCCCGCCTGGAGATCTCAGACCTCCCAGATGGTGAGGTTTGGTCTTGGGAGGGGCTCGTGTGGGTGGGTCAGGAGTGGCCTCACTCCCTGCTTGTCTCTGTGGAGTTCTGGGGACTGAGTGTGCCCTGCAGGGCAGCTGTCTCAAACCAGGTCACCTGCAGGCCTCCTGGGAAAGGAGAAAGCCCTCGAAGACTCAAGCTCAAGAAACCTTGACTCAGGAATCTATCTCAGCTTTACGGAAATGCCTTTCACCACAATTTGTCATAGCAAAAGAGAAATTTGGGTCTTTATCACTAAATGAATAAAATAAATTTTAAATATTACTGAAATAAGAAGAGAGAAGTAAGTCTGAGGCCTGGGACTATCAGAGGAGCCCTGGTTCAGAGCATTAATGGCTGGGGGACAGGAAGGACCCAGCCGTGGTGTGAGCACCGGCTCTGCCGCCTGCAGTCTGTGTGACTTGGAGCTTAAATCTCCAGTCCCTTTATTTATGCATGGAGGTTATAGCAGCATGCCTATTAGGATTGCTTAAGGGTTAAATGCACACAAAAGAGTACAATGGCAGCTGTTTATGGTTGGAGAATTGTTGTATTATTATTATTATTTGTTTTTGAGACGGAGTTTCACTGTTGCCCAGGCTGGAGTGCAGTGTCATGATCTTGGCTCACTGCAACCCTCGCCTCCCAGGTTCAAGCGATTCTCGTACCTCAGTCTCGAGTAGCTGGGATTACAGGCGCCCATCACCACACCAGCTAATTTTTTAGTAGAGACAGGGTTTCACCATATTGGCCAGGCTGGTCTCAAATTCCTGACCTCAGGTGATCCGCCCACCTCAGCCTCCCAAAGTGCTGGGATTACAGGTGTGAGCCACCGCACCTGGCCTATAGGCCTTTTTACCGAGGCATATATGTACAGAAAGTTACACATATTCTGCCTAGGTCGATGAGTTTTCACAAGGTGCACACATCTGTGTAACCAAGCACCTGTATAACCCAGTCAAGAAACAGAATGTTACCTGCATTGTCTGTATTGTTAATTTTTCTAGTACATATTTAATATTTAAATATTGTCGATGTTTTTGAAGAGGTAACAGATTTAGATCGTCCAAACTTCAAATGGTTTGCAAGCACGGAAGTCACGTCTTCTCCCTCCTTCCCTCCCATCAGCCCTCGCCAGCTGCCTGACCTCCCTAGGGAATGCCAGTGTTAAAGCACTGCTGTTGCTTTCCAAGCCTTAGAATGTTCTGTGAAGTCACCAGAGCTGCCATTCTGGCCTCCCTTGGATAAATGGGGCAAATGAGACTCCGGGAGAGGAATGGCTTTGCCTGTGGGTGCACAGCACATCATTGACAGCTGTGCCTGGAACCCAGGTCTCCTAACTGGAAAGTCCCAGCTCTCGCCGCTGCTCTAATCCAGGCCAGGTCCTACCATGCTGACAGAATGTCGGCTGTTGGGCGGTAGGATCCACGCTGCCCTCTAACCAGAGGCTGTCTGTGTCATGTGACTCGATGCACCCATCAGTGGTCTGTGATGAGTGGGTGGGAGGATATTTTGGCTGGCCTCTGGCCCACTTGTCCACGTCTGTCCTGGTGTGTCATGGCTGGCTTGTGACCTGGCATGTCCATGGCAGGTGTGGAAGGAGAGCCTCTAGTGAGTTCCCAGAGTGGACAGAGCCCTCCAGAGCCACAGGATCCTGAGGCTCCCAGCTCCTCAGGCCCAGGACACCTGGTGGCCATGGGCAAGGCAAACAGGACCCCTGTGGAAGCTGGTGTGAGCCAGTCAGATGCAGAGAACGCAGCTCCCTCCTGCCCGGATGAGCATGACACTCCACCCCGGCGCCGAGGTCGACCTTCCAGGCGCTTCCTAGGCAAGAAATACCGCAAGTATGTGGAGCAGAGGTGAGGGTGGGGCAGGTGTGTGGTTAAGCCACCAACCCCACCAGAGCTTTCCCCAACACCCTCTTCCTGCAGGTACTATTACAAGTCGCCCAAACCGCTTTTGAGGCCCTTCCTGTGCCGCATCTGTGGTTCTCGCTTTCTGTCCCACGAGGACCTGCGCTTCCACGTCAACTCCCATGAGGCTGGCGATCCCCAGCTCTTCAAGTGCCTGCAGTGCAGCTATCGTTCCCGCCGCTGGTCCTCTCTCAAGGTGCGGGAGCCAAAGAGGCTTGGGGCTCATGGGAGGGTGAAGAAGGCAAGCAGAGGCCAGCTGGTGCCACTGAGGGAGAATGGAGTCACAGAGCATCCTGGCTGACCATCCTGCTGCTCTTCAGGATGCGTGTCTGGCTCATTGGTGCGCTGAAGAATGCTCAGCTCCTCAGAGCCTGCAGGAATGTGGGGAGGTGCTGGGAAGGCTGCAGTGGGCAGTTTTGCAGGCAGCACGGTGCACAGCGGCAGCATATCTTCGCCACCACAGACGCCGTAAAACTGTTTTCATCTGATTCCATGTGTTAGAAAGATTTCCAGCAGATGGCAGTCATGTGTCTCAAGAAAAGCGTTCCTTTTAGGCGAGGAGCAGTGGCTCACGCCTGTAATCCCAGCACTTTGGGAGGCTGAGGTGGGTGGATCACCTGAGGTCAGGAGTTTGAGACCAGCCTGGCCAACATGGAGGAACCCCGTCTGTACTAAAAATAGAAAATGAGCTGGGTATGGTGGTGCATGCCTGTAATCCCAACTACTTGGGATGCTGAGGCAGGAGAATCGCTTGAACCTGGGAGGCAGAGGTTGCAGTGAGCCAAGATCATGCCACTGCACTCCAGCCTGGGCAACAAGAGCAGGGGAAGAAAAAAAACCACGGTTCCTTTTTCACCTTAATGCAAGCTACCACATGGCCTGCAGCAGCCCTAAGCCTTTTATGCAATAACTGGATAATTAAATCCTTATTGCAGCCCAGTGAGGTCGTAGGTGTCTATAGTCCCATTTTACTGACCCAGGAAACCGTGGCTCGGCCTGGCCAATGTGCAAGTTGGCAGCTGTGGGAGAGGGTACTTTCAGGCATGGTGGTCAGAGTGAGCCCCTGTGACACAGTGGGAGAGGTGGAGGCTGTGGCGCCATGCTGCCTGGCTTCAGCTTCAAGCTCTGCCATCACAAGGTCCCTCCACCCTGAGACTTAGGTTCCTCTGTCAAGTTGTGAGCCAGCACGGAGTGGGTGCTCTCGCTGGGGAGAGTCCCCGGGCCTTCCTAGGCTTTGACCCTTGCATCGCGGTGTGTTGTCCACATGCCTGTGTTCTGTGAGCTGCTCCTGCAGCAACCCTAAAGCGGTGGCCACAGGTGTGGTAGGGACGGGGATGGGAGAGGAGGCCAAGCCTCAGCCCACTATCCTTTTGTCTGTCTCCCAGGAGCACATGTTCAACCACGTGGGCAGCAAGCCCTACAAGTGTGACGAGTGCAGCTACACCAGTGTCTACCGGAAGGACGTCATTCGGCACGCCGCTGTGCACAGCCGAGACCGGTCAGTATGGGGGTGAGAGGGACCCGGGCAAGAGATGCCAGGTTGAGTGGGGCAGTGGAGGCCCAGGATAACTATGGTTCCCACTTACCACACTGCTGCTCTGAGCCAGCCCTATTTGCTGCACACTACAGGCATGAGCAGAAAGGCAGTTCACCCCAGATCATTTGGCTTAGAACAGGACAGTACCAGGACCTTGAGGTCCCCAGCTCAGCCTCTTACCTCTTGTGAGCTTTAGTTTCTCATCAAATGGGGGCAATTGTTGAGGGGATTGAAGGAAATTATGTACCTAAAGGAGTTCAGTAAATGATCCAAGATCTTCCGGACTCCAGATCCTACTCATCTCTCACAGGGCTGAGAGTGCACCTGAGAGAGAGAAACGAAAGTTCTTAGGCGCCTAATGATTGCTCACAGGATTACAATTCGATCTGGAGCTTCAGGTAGGAGTTCGCTTCATGAGAGGTGGTTTGTGAGCAGAGGTTGGAGACAGATCCCCTGGGACAGCTCCAGCTGTGTGTGTGGAAAAGCCAGCCCAAGATGCTTTGAGGTTTCTTTTTTTAAAATGAAAAGAAAAAAGGGGGGTTCTGTGGCCAAGTAAGATTAGTGTAGGATCACCAGCTTGCAGAGCTGTTCAGCACCTCTTTCCTGCAGAATTTCTTAGAGCTTTTATTGACTGATTGACAGAGTCTCACTGTGTCACCCAGTCTGGAGTGGAGTGGCACAATTACAGCTCACTGCAGCCTCGGCCTCCCAGGCTTAAGCGATCTTCCTGCTTCAGCCTTCCGAGTAGCTGGGAACTACATGTGCTAACCACCACACCCGGCTAAATTTTTATTATTTACTAATTTTTTTTTGTAGAGACAGTGTCTTGCTATGTTGCCCAGGCTGGTCTCAAACTCCTGGCCTTAACTGATCCTTAGAGCTTTTAATATGCAAATAACATTTTGTGATTGATAGAGAGAAAGAATGTTTCACAAATATATTTGAGTGCAGAATATGTTATTTTCAGCGTGCCTCTTAGCATTTTCCCCAGTGAACTCCAGCTGGGGAAGCACTGTTCTAAAAGAAAGGTGCCTTGGCAGGGAGTAGGCTCAGAGCTGAGACTGGGTCTGTTCAGTGTGAGAGGGTCTAGAGTGGGTTTGGGGAAGCCCCGGTCTAACTCCTCGGCCTTTTCCCCCCAGGAAGAAGAGGCCAGATCCGGTGAGTCTGGGGTGCTGGCCTGGGAAGGGAGCCTGCCTGGGGGTTGTTTGTGGAGGTGGGGACAAGAGGGGAGGTTTTATCCTCCCTCCTCCCCTTCTTTCTCCATCTGGCCCCTTCTTATGCCTTCCCAGACTCCAAAGCTGAGCTCTTTCCCCTGCCCTGTGTGTGGCCGTGTGTACCCCATGCAGAAAAGACTTACGCAGCACATGAAGACGCACAGCACTGAGAAGCCCCACATGTGTGACAAGGTGGGTGGGAACCAGGGCTGGGCCTGGGAGGAGGGCCTTCCCTGGGTAATGGAGGGTGATCGCCATCTCACTGCTCTTCACCCCTCACAGTGTGGAAAGTCCTTTAAGAAGCGCTACACCTTCAAAATGCACCTGCTCACACACATCCAGGCTGTTGCCAACCGCAGGTACATCCCCTCAGAGGCCCCTGGGGACGGGAGCAGTCCCCAGCGCATCACTGAGCTTCCCTCCCTCAAACTGCCTCCAGGTTCAAGTGTGAGTTCTGTGAGTTCGTTTGTGAAGACAAGAAGGCACTGCTGAACCACCAGTTGTCCCACGTCAGTGACAAGCCCTTCAAATGCAGCTTTTGTCCCTACCGCACCTTCCGAGAGGACTTCCTGCTGTCCCATGTGGCTGTCAAGCACACAGGTCAGCCTGGGCGCACCCCAGTCCCACTCACCAGCCCTCAGCTCCCTCTGCCCCGATCAGAGGCTTAGCTCCCACCCTCTTCCCCCTCGGTAGCCACAGAACAGCCCAAGTGCTTCAAGTGTAAAGAGAATTTCCCGTGGGCATATTTACCCTAACCTGAGCCCAGGTTCCCGCTTGGCCAGTTCTCTGGATGGCTCTGGGCTGGTCACTTGCCCTCTCTGAGCCTTCCATATTTATGAAATGGGGGAATCAGAAGTGCCTGCCATATGACTATGATGAAAGTAAGCTCCATTTGTTCCTTGAGCCCTGTGTGTGCTGGCACTGGGGCTGGAGAGGAGGCTTTTCTAGGCCCTGTCTTGGCAAATGAAGCTGCAGAAGCAATGCCATTGGCTTGGCCCACAGAAGCTGCACTGCAAACATTGTTTCTTTGGTGCTTAGCTACCTGGTCAGCACACTAGGGGCGATTAGAGAAAAGGAGCCAGGGGTTCCGTTAGCCAGAGTCCTGTGATGACCTGCAGAAGGAGCTTGTAGTCACATGACCTTGCAAATAGGCATGCACGGGAAGGCTGTTGAGTGCAGAGGGCAGCCTTGATTCATTTCTGTCCTGGGCTACCAGAACAGACAGTGGCATGTGTTCGCCAACATATGGGAATGAATCTCTGGAAGTGAGTCAATTGGAGAGATCCTTAGGATCAAGAAAGGATTCCTGGAGGGGGTAGGCTAGGGATGGACAGACTTAAGCTTGCCTCAACATGTGCCTCCAGGGGCCAAGCCCTTTGCCTGTGAGTACTGCCACTTCAGCACACGGCACAAGAAAAACCTACGCCTGCACGTACGGTGCCGACATGCAAGCAGCTTCGAGGAATGGGGGAGGCGCCACCCTGAGGAGCCCCCCTCCCGCCGTCGCCCCTTCTTCTCTCTGCAGCAGATTGAGGAGCTGAAGCAGCAGCACAGTGTGGCCCCTGGACCACCTCCCAGCTCCCCAGGACCTCCTGAGGTAAGGTCAGGGCATGGGTCAGGATGACAAAGTGAGGCAGCTGCTCCCAACCCCAGCATCATTTGCACATTAAGGTGCAACAAAATAATACCTGCCTCTAGGCCGGGCGCGGTGGCGCAAGCCTGTAATCCCAGCACTTTGGGAGGCTGAGACGGGCGGATCACGAGGTCAGGAGATCGAGACCATCCTGGCTAACACGGTGAAACCCCGTCTCTACTAAAAAATACAAAAAACTAGCCGGGCGAGGTGGCGGCGCCTGTAGTCCCAGCTACTCGGGAGGCTGAGGCAGGAGAATGGCGTGAACCCGGGGGGCGGAGCTTGCAGTGAGCCAAGATCGCGCCACTGCACACTGCACTCCAACCTGGGCGACAGAGCGAGACTCCGTCTCCAAAAAAAAAAAAAAAAAAGACTCGCTGAGTCACACATATGCGAACCCTAAGCTTAGAGTACGGGTGGCTTTCTAGTGCTAGTAATAGAGAATGGAAATACTAGTAACTTAAGTTTTTTATTCTGTCTTATACGAGAATTCCACAGGTCAGCAGTCTAGGGCTGGTGTGGTGATTATACAGTCAGAAGGGAAAAAGCTCTCCGTATCTGCCCAGTCATCTTAGGCATATGACTTTCATCTTTGTAGTTACCTCATGGTCCGGTATAGCTGCAGGAGCACCAGCCTTCCCAGCCACATCCCAGGCAGGAAGCAGGAGGAAGGGATGGGGGAGAAGCAAAAAGGATATCCGCCATCTATCAATCATTCCTCATGAACTTCACCTGAAGATCGTTGCTTAGTCATGTGGCCACACTTTACCTAGCTGCAAGGGAGGCTGAGAAATGTCTTGGAGCTGGGTACATTCCCACCCTGGTGAAAATCAGAGTTCTGTTAGCAAGAAGGAAGAGGAGGATGGATTCAGGATAGGTAGCTAGCAGTCTCTGCCATGTGAGCAGACACAGTATCCCCAGAAACATGGACCACATGACATGCTGGTAGATCACAGGCCCTGGAATCACACAGTCATGGGTTCAAGCCCTCACCCTGCTGTATATTAGGAGTGGGATTCTTGGCCAGCCACTTCACCTCTCTGAGCCTTAGTGGGTTCATCTGTAGCACTGAGCTGGTATATTTTGAAAAGTGGTTATGGGCTGGGTGTGCTGGCTCACGCCTGTAATCCCAACACTTTGGGAGGCCGAGGCGGGTGGATCACTTGAATCAGGAGTTTGAAACCAGCCAACCAACATGGAGAAACCCCATCTCTACTAAAAATATAAACATTAGCTGGGCATGGTGGCGGGCACCTGTAATCCCAGCTATTCAGGAGGCTGAGACACAAGAATCACTTGAACCCAGGGGTCAGAGGTTGTAGTGAGCCAAGATTGTGCCATTGTACTCCAGCCTGCATGACAGAGAGAGACTCCGTCTCAAAAAAAAAAAAAAAGAAAAGTGGTTATGAAGATAAAACAAACCAACAGATGTAAAATGTCTGGCAGATCAGAGGCGCTTGGTAAATGGCACTTGAATCTGCCATTTACATTGGGGGGCCATATGTCCACCCCATAGATACCCCCAGAGGCGACACCTTTCCAGTCATCTGAGGCTCCCTCACTGCTCTGTCCTGACACCCTGGGCGGCGCCACCATCATCTACCAGCAAGGTGAGCTCTGTGGGAGGACAGGAGCTCTGAGTGGGGCAGGGGCAGGCGTGCTGGTGGCGGCTGCAAGATGGAGAGGGGGTGGTATTGGGTGCCAGTTTTCTAGCACTTTGTCAGGCTTAGATCCCACCCCACCCAGGAGCCGAGGAGTCGACAGCGATGGCCACGCAGACAGCCTTGGATCTTCTACTGAACATGAGTGCCCAGCGGGAACTGGGGGGCACAGCCCTGCAGGTGAGTTACCTGGGAACCTGTTCCCCTGCCCAGCTTCTGCAGGTACCCAGCCCTGCACTGGACACTGGGACTAGAGGACAACAGTGTATCAGAGCTGCCCCGCCCTTGGGAACTCCAGGGTAGTGGAGGAGACAGATCCACTGAAGTCTGGTAGGCAAACACAGAGAGGAACAGGCTTTGCCAGGGAGGCCATGGGGTCTCCCGTCCATTCTCCGGAATCACTGGTGACCTGCCAGGTGGAACAGTACACACTGCCCCTGTGGCATCTGGGCCCTGTTCTTGTTTTGTCTTCCTCCCACCTCTGTAGCCACCATGTGCCTGTGGGTGCCCCCACAGGGGTCTGAACTAGCTTTTCCATCCAAAAGAGTGCCCTCATTCCAGGACACCTCCCACAGCCTGCAGACCCCAGGGCTTCCTCTAGATCAGACCATTCTCTCGAGTTCCAGGGGTCTTGGTTCCTGCACCTCCCCAAAGTTCTGCACCTTTGCCCCTCCCCGCCCCCCACTTCACATCTGGCCTGGTCTCCAAGGCAGAGGGAGGTTTATTAGCCCCTTCTGTTTCTTAGCCTCATGAGAAGATGAAGAGTGTTTTTAAAATGATAAGTTTCAGAAATCTTCATAGAGTTTAGTTCATGGCAATTAGGGGTGTATAGAAGTTTTACATTTTTAGATAGGAAAATTTATCAGTCTTTTATAGTTTTGTCTTTGGTGTCATCCCTAGAAAGACTCCTCCAGCTTGTATCCCAAGATTATATAAACATTCATTTATATTTTTTCTTAGGGTTTATTTTTTTACACTTAAATCTTACTCCACCTAGAATTTATTTTTGATGTATGCAGAAAGGTAGGGATCGATTTTTTTTCCAGAAGTCATCCGATGTGGTATCTTCCCCTGTGGTTTGAAGTGTCCTCCTTCTCATATACTAGATTCCCAAATATGTAGGAGTCTATTTCTAGGCTTCAGTTCTGTTCTGTTGATTTGTCTCCTGTTCCCATGCCAATCTCATGTGGTAGTTTTTCTGCTTACAAAAGCACATGCTTGTAAAAAACAAAACAGGCCTGGCATGGTAGCTCACGCCTGGAATCCCAGCACTTTGGGAGGCCAAGGTGGGTGGATCACCTGAGGTCAGGAGTTCAAGACCAGCCTGACCAACACGGAGAAACCCTGTCTCTACTAAAAATACAAAATTAGCCGGGTGTGATGGCACATCTCTGTAATAATCCCAGCCACTCGGGAGGCTGAGGCAGGAGAATCACTTGAACCTGGGAGGCGGAGGTTACAGTGAGCCAAGATTGCACTATTGCACTCCAGCCTGGGCAACAAGAGCAAAACTCCATGTAAAAAAAAAAAGAAAAAAAGAAACAAAATGAACATTAGAAAATGTTTCAATAGAAGGTGAAAGTCCTTGGCATTTCTCCCCTCCCCTCAGATACCCAGTAAATGGGTTCAGAAGAATTTCTTCAGGGCTTTGTTCATGCTCATAGTAACACTTAGACCTTTGTTCCTTAAAAATTGGAATCACATTGCTGCTGCTTCTCAGCGTCATCTTTCACTTAACAGCGTGTGATGCATGGCCTGGCCAGCACCTGCAGTTACCCTCATTCTCCTAAGATCTCCATCTTGCATCTCTGTATCATTCCATCACATGGATGTTCTCAGCTATAGTTTAGTCCTTTATTGGCTGGGTTCTTTCATTTTATATTAATTCAAGCAGTGCTTCACTGTACATATATTTTCAGTGCTCATAAACTTTTTTTTTTTTTTTTTTGAGATGGAGTCTCACTTTGTCACCCAGGCTGGAGTAAAGTGGCGTGATGTTGGCTCCCTGCAACCTCTGCCTCCTGGGTTCAAATGATTCTCCTGCCTCAGCTGCCTGAGTTGCTGGGATTACAGGTGCATGCCACCACACCCAGCTACTTTTTTGCATTTTTAGTAGGGATAGGGTTTCATCATGTTGGCCAGGCTAGTTTCAAACTCCTGACCTCAAGTGATCTACCTGCCTTGGCCTCCCAAAGTGCCAGGATTACAGGCGTGAGCAACCATGCCCAGCCAACATTTTTGTAGTATTTTCAAAAAGCCGCCTACAAGAATTATTAGTGGGTCAGAGGGTATGGTGCGAAGCCTTGTAAAAAGATATGCCAGTATACATGGCCACCAGTAGGGTATGTTTTCCTGCATTCATGCCAATTCACTGGGTATTATCCATCTTTATAAATCTCTTTTTTGGCGGGGTGGGGTGGTGACGGAGTCTCACTCTGTCACCCAGGCTGGAGTGCAGTGGCGCGATCTCGGCTCACTGCAACCTCTGCCTCCTGGGTTCACACTGTTCTGCCTCAGCCTCCTGAGTAGCTGGGACTACAGGCACCGCCACCACGCCCGGCTAATTTTTGTATTTTTAGTAGAGACGGGGTTTCACTGTGTTAGCCAGGATGATCTCAATTTCCTGACCTCATGATCCACCCACCTCGGACTTCCAAAGTGCTGGGATTACAGGTGTGAGCCAACACACCAGTCTTACACCTGTAATCCCAGCACTTTGGGAGGCCGAGGCAGGAGAACTGCTTGAGTCCAGGAGTTTGAGACCAGCCTGGACAACATGGTAAAACCCTGTCTCTTAAAGAAAAAAAAAAAAAAAAAATTAGCTGGGTGTGGCAATGAATGCCTGTAGTACCAGCTACTTGAGAGGCTGAGGTGGGAGGATCACTTGAGCCCAGCAGGTTGAGGCTGCAGTGAGCTATAATCACACCACTGCACTCCAGCCTGAGCAATACCCAGTCTCCAAAAAAAAAAAAATAGTAGTTGTGTGACCGTAAATGATATTGAACTTCTCTCTTTATGTTCAGAGACCATTGTATTCTTTTTCTAAAGTACCCGTTTGTGTCCTGCGTGTGTTTTTCTGTTAAGTTGTTTTTAGTTATTGCTTTGCAGGAGCTCCATATATGAGGGAAGTCCACCTTTTATGAGTTGTTAAATATCCCCCAAACCCAATTTCTTTGTTTTTTGGCTTCATTTTATGGTTAATTTTGCTCTGTTATCTTTCTCTGTCATGATTAGAAAAATCTCCCCACCCCAATTCTAAAATACTTACCTACATTTTCTTTTAATATATTTAGAGTTTGATTACATTTTAATCTTCAACCCATTTGAAGCTGACTATAGAGTAAGATGTACACTGCAGCTTTTTTTCTAAGTGTCAGTTATCCCCAGTATTTCTTGACTGCAGCACTATTGGCATGTTGAGGCAGATGCTATTGTGTGGTGGGGCAGTTCTGTGCATTATGGGATGTTCAGCAGCATCCCTGGCCTCTTCCCCACTACATGCCGGTACCATCCCCCTCCTGCTGTGATAAGAAATGTCTCCAGACATTGCCGAATGTTTGTGGGGGGCACAACTGCTCTGCCCTATTCCTGTTGGTCTATTTCCAGTTGCTGAGTGGGATTTGGAAAGCCGGAGTATATTTTAGAAAGAACTTGGATTATTCAAATGAGCGGTGGCAGTGCTGGTCTGACTAGAGTGTGTGGGTGCATCTGGGACACTGAGATGGGAGAGGCATCTTGCATACCTGCTTCTCTGCCACAGATGCCTCCCATCCTGCCCCCTGGTGCTGTTGCAGGTGGCTGTGGTGAAGTCGGAGGACGTGGAAGCAGGGTTAGCATCCCCTGGTGGGCAGCCCTCCCCTGAAGGTGCCACTCCACAGGTGGTCACCCTCCATGTGGCAGAGCCAGGGGGCGGTGTGGCAGCCGAGAGCCAGCTAGGCCCTCCTGACCTACCACAGATCACCCTGGCACCTGGTCCATTTGGTGGGACTGGCTACAGTGTCATCACGGCACCCCCTATGGAGGAGGGAACATCAGCTCCTGGCACACCTTACAGGTGAGACCTGCTGCCTGCAAGGCCCCTTTCAGCTTTTTGTAGGTGTGGTTGGTCAGTTCGATTTGGGCCCCACCCAAGCCTAGTTGGCAGGAGGCAAAAATCCCAATACACGTCAAGTGATTGGTGGTGGAGTCTACCCTTCTCAGGAGGTCAAGAGCTACCATTTTTTTAGCCACTTAGATGTTCCAAGCACTTGGCAGTCATGATGGGACCTAAGCCATTCCCATGAGATCCAGATTTCCCTTGTTTTACAAATGAGGAAATGGGCCAGGGAGGTTAAGTGACCAGCCTGAAACCACACACGCAGTAGGTAAGATTTGAACCCTGGTCCCTTTGGTACCCATGCCAAGTGCTCTTCTTGAGTGATCCCAGGTGTTCTCCAGTTCTGACATTCCAAAGAAGCTCAGGCCTCTTTACCAGCATTGAGGCCTGGCTCCTGCACTTGGCTTCCCTACAATGAATGAGCTTGGGCAGGCATGTTTATGTTCACCGAACTCTTAGGCCATCTGAGGAAGCCCTGAATCCAAGTGCCAAATTGTTCAGCTGGGCTGGGAGTCAGGAACCCCGGGCCCATGCCCTTGGCCAGCACCTGGGCGGCCAGTCTCAGCATTTGCTCTCTACTCTTAGGCAGCAGGTCCTTGTTAGCCTTGCCTCCTCCACTAGCTCCTGGTGGTGGATTCACCATTTGCTACTGGTTGGCCTGGTCCCCCTGTCCTGCTCAACTTGGCCAGACTTGGGTTGGACCCCTCTCCCTCACTGTGTGCCCCTCACCTTGCCATGTTTACCAAGGACAAGGATGACCAGTTTTTGAGAAGGACCTATGCTTGAGTTGTAATCATTTACAAGAGAGACGGTAGAGGGTCATTTGGTAACAGGGCAGAGCCACAGTTGAACCCTGGGCCCTTCTGACTTGAGTTCATCTTTGGTGACAGTCATCCCTCAGTTGATGCCTGTTGCTTGGGGAAGGGGGCTCCTGTGGCCCTCCATCTTCTCCTAGAACCTTCTCCGTGCCCACAGCGAGGAGCCCTCAGGAGAGGCAGCCCAGACTGTGGTTGTGAGTGACACCCTAAAAGAAGCTGGCACCCACTACATCATGGCTACTGATGGTACCCAGTTGCACCACATTGAGGTGAGGCTTGGGGATGCCAACCACTCCCCTACCTCCCTCCCCTTCTCAGCACCTCATGCTCCCTGTCTCTCCACAGCTCACCGCAGATGGCTCCATCTCCTTCCCAAGTCCAGATGCTCTGGCCTCTGGTGCCAAATGGCCCCTGCTGCAGTGTGGGGGGCTGCCGAGAGATGGCCCTGAGCCTCCATCTCCAGCCAGCACCCACCGTGTAGGGGACCCCCCGAGCTCTGCCTCCCCACCTCCTGCAACCAGCAAAGCCCTGGGCCTGGCAGTGCCCCCCTCACCGCCGTGTGCAGCCACTGCAGCATCAAAGAAGTTTTCCTGCAAGATCTGTGCCGAGGCCTTCCCTGGCCGAGCTGAGATGGAGAGTCACAAGCGGGCCCATGCTGGGCCTGGTGCCTTCAAGTGCCCCGACTGCCCCTTCAGTGCCCGCCAGTGGCCCGAGGTCCGGGTAGGTGCTGGCGCTCCTGTGTCTCTGCTGTCATTCATTGGGCCACACATTTGTATAACAAACCTTTAATGAGTGCCCTTTCAAACCAGATCCTTTGCCCCCCTCTGAGTGGATGAGATTGGTCAGAGATGACTCAGCAAGGTCCCAGCTCTCAGGGAGCTTGGTCTGGTGGGGAGGCAAACTAGACACAATGTGACTAATGCCAGACAGTGTTCCGAGTGTGAACCAAGGATGCAGGGCAGAGAGCAAGTCATTTGAACTTGAGTGTGCTGGGGAAAATGCCACAGGAGGGATGGCCAAGCTGGGCCTCCAGGAGCAAAGGCACAGAGGTGTGAGACAGAGGCATGGCTAGGGAGACTTGAACGTCTAGAACAGGGTTCCCCAACCCCTGGTCCACAGACCAGTAGCCATCTATGGCTTGTCAGGAACCAGGCCACACAGGAGGTGAGCGGCAGGTGGGCAAGCATTAGCCTGAGCTCCACTTCCTGTCACAGCAGCTGCATTAGAGTGTCATAGGAGCACAGCCCCATTGTGAACTGTGCATACAAGGGATCTAGATCACACTCCTTATAAGAATCTAACTAGTGTCTGATGATCTGAGGTGCAACAGTTTCATCCCAAAACCATCACCCTGCACATGCCGTGAAACAATTATCTCCCATAAAACCAGTCCCTGGTGCCAAAAAGGTTGGGGACCACTTGTCTAGAATACTGAGGGCACAGAAGTTTGAGGTAGTTGGGGAGCCACCATGGAGAAGGCTAGTGGGCAGGTTCACAGCCCAGCTGGGGGCCTCCCTGTTTGCCTGAGGATTTCCAGTTTTCAGATCCAGTCACGCACTGCATCCTCCCCAGAGGTCAGAGAGCGAAGCAGAGCCTAGAGCCCCACCCCTACAGATGCAGAGGTGGAGGCTCTGTCAGGCAGGCCTCAACCCTAGAAAATCAGGGCCCGGGTCAGGCACGGTGGCTCATGCCTGTAATCCCAGCACTTTGGGAGGCCGAGGCGGGTGGATCACCTGAGGTCAGGAGTTTGAGACCAGCCTGACTAACATGGAGAAAACCCGTCTCTACTAAAAATACAAAATTAGCCAGGCTTGGTGACGCATGCCAGTAATCCCTGCTACTCGGGAGGCTGAGGCAGGGGAATCGCTTGAACCCAGGAGGCGGAGGTTGCGGTGAGCTGAGATCACGCCACTGCACTCCACCTCTGGGCGACAAGAGCAAAACTCTGTCTCAAAAAAAAAAAAAAAGCCCGATGGGACCTGCACAGGTCCCCTCATCCAACACCTCTAAGTTATATATGGGTAAACTGAAATTTTCCAATTGACCTAATAATGATGGAACCTATGGCCTTTCACTTTTAGGACACAGCAGCACCAGATGTGGATCTGGCTTGGCCTTTCTACCCAGCTTCTTGTTAGTACACAGGATTTTGGTTTTCCCAGGTCCGCTTTGCCTGGTTCCCTGACCAGCTGTCGGCAGGGATCTGGGGATTTGTTGCCATCTGTCCTGACCCAGCTGATGCCAACTCTGCCCTCTCTGCAGGCGCACATGGCGCAGCACTCAAGCCTGCGGCCCCACCAGTGTAGCCAGTGCAGTTTCGCCTCCAAGAATAAGAAGGACCTGCGGCGGCACATGCTGACTCACACCAAGGAGAAGCCGTTTGCATGCCACCTCTGCGGGCAGCGGTGAGGCCACATACCGATGGGTGGGGACCCCTGGGCATGTATGATGGAGCTAACCTGAGCCACCTTTCATCCCCTTCAGTTTCAACCGTAACGGGCACCTCAAGTTCCATATCCAGCGGCTGCACAGTCCCGATGGGAGGAAGTCAGGAACCCCTACAGCCCGGGCTGCTACCCAGACCCCAACCCAGACCATCATCCTCAACAGTGATGACGAAACACTGGCCACCCTGCACAGTGAGCTGCCCCTGGGGCCACAGGGTGGGCACCAGGGTAGATCCAGAGACTTGGGCCACTGCCCCAAAAGGCACCTCTGGGCACAGTAGAGGCTGGGGCCTTGCAGGTTTTCCTGGACCTCACGTGAGCATCCTCTCCTCTCTGCCCAGCCGCACTCCAGTCCAGTCACGGGGTCCTGGGCCCAGAGCGGCTACAGCAGGCACTGGGCCAGGAACATATCATCGTTGCCCAGGAGCAGACAGTGACCAATCAGGTAAGAGTCAGGACTGGGGGCCCTGTGGCCAATGACAGGCAGGGGTTGGGGTAGAGAAATGAGGCTAGAGCTGCCTTGGTCCTGGCAGGAGGAAGCCACCTACATCCAAGAGATCACCACAGCAGATGGCCAGACTGTACAGCACCTGGTGACCTCCGACAACCAGGTGAGCTGCTAGCTACTGTTGATGCCCTTAACTGTGACCTACCCTCCCAACCAAAGACCCACCTTGGGGAGGAATGATACTTTCCAAACCACCCCTCCTGGGGTCCATGCTTGCCAACAACTGCATTGTTGCTGGTGGCTATTCCTAGTCTTCCACTCTGCCTTCTTAGCTGAGCTCCTGGAGAACGAGGCCTCAGCACCTGCCTCCTTGCCACCACTGCCACCCTCCCCCCCCGCCCACAGGTGCAGTATATCATCTCCCAGGATGGTGTCCAGCACCTGCTCCCCCAGGAATATGTTGTGGTCCCCGAGGGCCATCACATCCAGGTAGACCACACCCTGGGATGAGGGTGGGGTGTGGTGAAGGACTGCATGACCTCTTCCCAGAATCACAGCTTGGCTTCCTCTCTGCAGGTACAGGAGGGCCAGATCACACACATCCAGTATGAACAAGGAGCCCCGTTCCTTCAGGAGTCCCAGGTAGGGCCCTGGGAGGACAGGGAGACCTGGGGCACAGGCAGGGTTTCTGCAGGCCAGCATCTTATCAGCTTTTCCCCTCCAGATCCAGTATGTGCCTGTGTCCCCAGGCCAGCAGCTTGTCACACAGGCTCAACTTGAGGCTGCAGCACACTCGGCTGTCACAGGTATGGAGCTGGACCCTGAGGAGCACAGGGCTGGGTTTGGACCCAGCTCCTGAGCCCCTAGCTCACCATACTTTCCCCTCCCCTGGCAGCAGTGGCTGATGCTGCCATGGCCCAAGCCCAAGGCCTGTTTGGCACAGAGGAGGCAGTGCCTGAACACATTCAACAGCTGCAGCACCAGGGCATCGAGTACGACGTCATCACCCTGGCCGATGACTGAGCCCTGAGGGCCCGACACAGATCATGGATTTGAGGCCAGCCCTCCTGGGGGTGGGGGGCCACCAGGACTCACCTCCCTCTTCATTTAGTATCTCCAGATACTGGACAGCCAGCATCCTCTCATTCCTAGGGAGCCAGACCTGTGCTGTTGGGGTTAGGGGCAGCCATGGGCCCCGGCCAAGACGTGCTGGGTGCCCCAGCCTGCAGGCAGGCTTTGGGATAGAAATTTATTTTTGTTTGGGTGGACCCACTGGCCTCTCAGTCTCAATAAAGGGACTGGAGTCCAGTCCTGAACAGCTTACTTTGTCTGCTTGCTGCTGCAGCCTGAACCAGGCCAGATCTTTTGAGGTGGAAGTTGTGTGGCTCCACAGCATGACCTGCCCTGCCCTGCCTCTCTAAGTCCAGTGATCCACCAGCAGGGCAGACCCTTGCTGCAGAGGCCTGACAATGAGAGAGGCGGCTGAACCAGCGAGAGCCCCAACAAGCACCTTCAGACCTGCTTCCTCCCTGGGCCCTAGGGAGCATGCGCTCTGTGCCTACAGGTCCCCTGAGGCTGCTCTCCTGATCCTCGACTGTGAGGCACACCCAGCTGTCTGCTCACTGTGGGGATCCAAGGCCAGCGAGAGTCTGGCTTTTGGGTTGGGGACAGGCACAGCTCCCAGTCCTCTGATCCCCAGGGGTATCCATGCAGGCCCTGCTGGGGGAGTTTGGAGCTAGGGGATGCAGGGCCTTGGACTCTTCAGACCTGCTGAGCCCAGGCAGAGGCCACCAGGGACCCGGCTGTGTGGGAGCCCCAGCTGGGGAGTGAAGGTCCAGGGACCATGAGAAGGAGCTGCTGGAGGGAGGGGAGTGTGGTCCCAGAAGTAGCTCCAGCTGCCTCAGCCTTCTCTGCCCTCAAGACCCTCACACATTCTTGGGGGGGTTTCTGTATTTCCTTTTACAAATGAAACAAGGTGGCAACAGGATGAGGGGTGGGGTTGGGAAGGCATCAGGACCTATATACATGGGACTTGGAGGGAGTTTGAGGTGAGGAGTTGGGGACAGGCAGGGAGGGGAGCCCTGGCAGAACCATAATCTTCCTATGTCAGTGGTAGCGGGGTCCCTGTCAGGCCCCAGGGGCCTGAGTCCCAGCAGTCCAGACCAGCACCCCTGGGGCTCCTCCTCCCCGCAGGGTATGTTAAGTGGGGTGAGGCTCGCGGCTAGGGCCCTGCTCACGGCCCGAGTCCCGGTCCTTGGCATCCGAGGAGGACGATGAGGAAGAACCAGAGCTGTGGCTGCGGCCTGACTGCCGGTAGGCAGCGCTCAGCTCCTGCAGCCGTTCAGGCGTTGGCACCCACTTGGCAAAGCCAGGGTCGTTCTGTAGGAAGAGCACGGCCGTGTTGTGGACGGCCTTGTAGTGCATTTCCTCCCTGCGGGCAAAGGCAATGGCTCAGGGTGGGGCTGGGCCTGGCCTGGCCAGCCTAGCCTCCGTCCCCTGCCCTCCCTGGCACCCACTTCTTGCAGATGTGCTGGGAGCCACTGCGGTACTCGTGCTCAAAGGCAGGCAGGATCAACTGGTGGCGTTTGAAGCGGCTCTGCTCCATGCGGGTGAGCGCTGGTGTGGGGGGTTCCCGCCACTCTGGGATGAACACGATGAAGGACAGGGGCTCCGGTGAGCTCTCAAGCAGTTTCTGTGGAAGGGGACACAGGGTGGACGTCAGGGGCTGCCTCCCAGGTGGCTGGCAATCCTGCCCTGTTGCCCACCCCTCACCCTGGCAGTGTACCCACCTCAAAGTGAGAGACCATAGCATCCATGAGCTCCTCGCAGAAGGGAGGGTTGGCCTCAAATGAACCACTCAGTGGAGCAAAGTCTAGGCAGGGCCTGGGGACAGGAGTGAGCATTTTAAGTCCTATCAGGACCCAGTCCCTCAACCAGAAACAGGTGCCATCCTCAACCCTAGGCAGCCACACTGAAGAGATGGCCTCTCCAGAAGCCAGCATTCACCCTAATTCACTGGGGCACAAGGCATAACCGTCTCCACTGAATTAATGAAGACAGTGAACGAGGCTCAGGCTGGGATGCCCATGTTCACCAAGCTAGCATTCAAATCCAGTTCTGAGCCCACCACCACCACAGCAGAAGCTGCACCCAGGATCCCCAGCTGCTGAGCTCTGGACCTCTGGAGGTCCTGGCCATTCTTCCTTCTGGAGAGAGCATTACATTCTCTCATCTGTGCTCACCCCCACCCCTAGTTTGTAAGGCCTCTGAAGTCTGTGGCCCCACTTCTCACTCCTCTCAGGGCCCGGGACCACGTGTTCCTATTCCATCCTGAGCTGACTCACTGAGAAACCCAGAGGCCAGCTAGGGGTGTCACATGCCTGCCCACAGAGCCAGAAAAGCTCAGACTCCCAGAAGTTAAGCAACATGTCCAAGATCACATAGCTGGTAAGAGGTGGAGGCAGGGACTCCACCCAAGCCTGCCTGACACTACAGCCCAGGAAGTAGCCAGCAGAGGCGGGCCCTGTGCTCTGGAGGACCACTTTCCTGGCCCGGGTAGAGGGCAGCCTTTGGCCCTCACCCGCGGGAGCCAAAGTAGCCGTCTGTGTCGGGGAAGGCAGAACAGTACTGGCGGAAGTAACAGTTGAGGGGTGAGGCGAAGCACTCGAAGCTGACGCCGAAGAGTCGGTGGAGGGCCTCAAAGACGTGCACAGGCAGCGACCCCTGCAGGCCAGTCCCCTCATAGAGGCCCACGCCGAACATCATCTGCAAAGTGGCCATAGTCAGCGCCTGGGGCTCGCCCTCCCTGTTCCCTCCTGGGGAGCCCTCCCTGCTGCCCCAGGCCTGTACCTGGTACCGTCGGAGAAGACACCAGACCCGGGGCAGGAACCTCTCAAAGGCAGAGTCATCAATGCAACTGTAGCGGTAAAGGAGCCACTGTGGGGTGGGACAGAGAGGAGTGGCGTTCAGCAGTGCTCCCTCATGTCCTCATCACTGGCCTCCCGCTGGGGACTCTGCTCAGGAAAGATCCCAGGCCCTGACTCGTGCCATCAGCTAGGGACTTCCTCCCTGTAGCTCTTACCAGCTTGCTGAAGTAGTTGCGGCTGACCTTGACCATCTCTCCCTTATACCGGATGCAGACCACGTTGTTCTCCATGTGCATCTCCACGCTGGGCATGGGGGGTGCAGACACAGCCAGCCGGACTGGATAGCAGTACACGAGGCGGGGCTCCACCTCAGGGGCGTCCACCTCCTCTGTGGGCAGGGAGAGCAGTGAGGGACCATACTCCTCATTCTCACGCTGCAGCCACTGTGGGTCACATGCTTTGTACTGAGAGAGGGAAGTCCCATTTCACAGATGAGTATAGTGTGGCCTAGTTCAGTAGAAAGGGAATGAAAGCCATAAAAAGAAACCAGCCAGACAATTGGCTGGGGCAGAAACAGGTGGCCTGTGTCAACACACTCAGTACTGAAGCAGGCCCCTGTATGCCGTGCCTTGGGCTGGTAGGCAAGAAGGCTCAGGCCTATGGGTCCTGCTGCTGGGCAGAAGTACAAGAAATGCATCGCCATTATCGTAATAGTGACGATTCCTTATTTGGGGATCTTTTTGGGCCACACGGTTTACTTGAGTTACTTGTGAGTACTCAAACAATCCTACCACCAGGTGCTGTACTTCAGTCTGGGGAAAGTGAGGCTTGCAGAGAATGGATGTAAATTCAGGTACACCTAACTATGACTCCCAGCCTATCTTTCACCACCACCATCTGGCTCTCCCTTTATCACTCCTCCCTGTTTCCCAGAGAAGTACAGCCAAAGGACACAGCAGGTTCTGCCCCAAACCAGTCCCTGGCCTTGAGGCTCAGCCTCGCTTGTCCCTTCCATCAGGGTATAGAGCTGACGGCATCACAGCTGGCTCCTCCTCCACCTTTCCCCTACCTGAGATGTTGTTTTCCTTAAGGATGGCAAGGTGCTTCTCTCGGATCCGTTTGACGTACTCCAGGGAGATGTGGTAGATCTTACTGCAGATGCCTTCCACGGAGTCCTTGGCTGCAGCCGAGACGTGGGGGCCACACTGCCTCCGCAGGTGCTCCAGGCGATCCTAGAGGAGATATTCTGGATCAGGGCGCTAGTGGAGGCCAAAGGGGCTCAGCTGGGCTGGCAGGTAACCGCAGGGCTGTTGGAGTCCAGCAGTCCTTGTTTTGAAACCAGCTCTGCTACTGACTAGCCGTGTCACTTGGACATATCCCCTGGCTTCTCTGAATCATTCCTCAAGTGCCAAGGGGACACGAGATACCTAACAGGGCAGTTTGAATATTAAATGTAATCATTTCCCTTAAGGGCTTACCAAGTGCCTGGCATACAGTAAGTGTACAATAAATGCCAGTAGCTTTTGTTGGGGTTACACTGCCAGATCCCACGGTAATTACTGGAGAAACAGACAAACCAGCATGGTCCCAGCTTACAGTGTTTGCAGTCTATTGGGGAAAGACACAATTACAAAAGAGTGTTGGTTGCTGCAGACTTGAGATTTGAGCTTTTAGCTACTTGCAAAGATGACTGTCGGGATTTGTAATTTTGCTGAATCACGTGTAAAACTGAAGAGTGAGAATGAGTCACTCTGGCTAGTGAGTACACCTACCTTTGTCACTCTCTACGTGTCAAGTACACAGTTACTATCGTGAAGTGCGAAACCTTGTCTCTTGTGAAATATGGTCCTGAAAAGAAAGCCCATTGCTAGTGCTGGTGGAGAGGTTTAAGAAGTGATAGGTTTTGGCCAGAAAACAGAATTGTTTTGGACACATTAAGAGTAGGGAATTGAATCTGATGGTAGCTCTTAACTATGATATGAATACACACACCCAAGAAAAAGCAGGCTGTCAATCTGTTTCCAAAAATCTACTCAAGGGAGATGCGGAACATTCATTAGGCTGAAAGGCAGCTACCTGTGGTGTGTGTCCAAGCATAAGACTCCATTAAGACTGTTAATGGAAATGTTCTGTGGGAGAAAGCCAGGAGCCTAGAGAAACATCTCCACAATCATGAGTTTGGGGACTGACGAACGTCAAACGTCTGCCGTATTCCACAAGAATAGGCCACTGGGGGAGGCCTTGCCCAGCCTGGACAGGCAGAGTAGGCTTCCTAGAGGAAGTGGCCACAGAGCCCTAAAACTGGCCTTCTCACCCGGGGACCCACTCACCATGTAGTCCTCTTTGGAGGCTGAGTGGTCCTTCCGAAGCCAGCTAAAGGTGTCTTCCACATTCCATTTGACCACCTTCCTACTGTCGGGGGATGCACTCCTGCCAGTCAAGGGGAGGGTAGAAGAA